TTTCACTATTTTTCCGAAAGATACAGAGCAGTTTGCAATAACGGAAGAGAAACAATTATGTTTCATTTAAGAAGTGAAGTAAAATTTTGATACAAACAGAAAACTGTGAGTATCAAAATGAAAAATTTACTCTTTGAAATAGAAGAAGCTTTTTTAAACTATATAGAGTATTGAAAATGGAATACGAATGAATTTACCAAAAAAATTAATAGGTATATGAACTGTTTTAGAAGATATTTTGTTATTTTAAATTTAAAAAAAGACTCACATATATTGAAAAGTATAGAAAAATATATACGTGGTCGTATAACATTTTTCTAATATTATCCTTAAACTTGATAAAACTTTAAAAAAATCAATATTCTCTTTTTTTTAACTATAATTTTATTTTTTGCTTTAAGGTCACAACATATAATATTCTCATAATTATGCATAATACAATGTATAACAAGTACATGTACCTTATTTATTTTAAATTTTTATGCTTATATGTATTAAAGGTTCATTAATTGACTTAAGTTTTTTTCTCTTGTATTTTATATAAAAACAATTTAATAAAATTCAACCGTATAAATATTTAGATATAATATAGGACATACTTCTACATAATAAGACCCCGAATTTAAAGAAATTTTCATAAATTACCAGAAATTATTAAATAAATTTTTATTTTCATTTTAGGATATGTCGAGTTTTAATAATATTTCATATAATAAAAACGATACATGAGAAGGTTATAACACCGAATAAAATAGCCGAAGGACAATAGCGTTAAGTACGTTTATATTTAAATAAACTATACAAGTAGGAATTTCAGTTAATTTTTGATACTAGTAATTTGAAAGGCCCTTTACATTCTACTAGCCGACAAATTTTGAGCTGATATCGCCACTTTCCACATTCTATCTGCTCATCATTTCACATAAGTGCTCCGATTCTACAATCCCAATAACAACTCAAAATTGGATTCATTAAGATTTAGCAATTTTTAACAAATTATTTAAATAATTAATACCTAGAGTTCTGATGAATTTTGTTTGGAATAGAGATGGCCGCTTGAGTTACAACAAGTGTTGCTATTTGACGTTATTGTTTTACTTTTTCGTTATTACATTATCAAATATTTTATTTAGTGTTATAATAAGATTCAATATTTCGCATGATTATTCAGGATTAAAGAAACAGGTCAAATTATCGTCAATGCCATTATTTGTATATTGAATATTTAAATCTTTAGAAATTAATATAACCCTTCTATATATAACCATTAATATAAAAATTATGAAAGCAACAACATTTAATTTTTACTAAAATAATATTTTCTATAAAATCAAGAAAAAGTTTTTGGTTAAAGTCCTTAAATCATTAACCGTTTTGCTTTATTATTTTGGATCGATAAGATTCCCTTTTATTTTATTAAAAATTTTACACAGTGTATGTATAAACTATATAGTATTTTCGTCCTTATTTACTGTATTTTGATCTTCTTTCAATATTTTTTTGCTATATGAAGTATTTATCTTTATATATATGTGTTATGATTATTATTGTTAATAATAGCTTAGAATAACATGATTTTATATTTTTTATATAGACTTTGAAGATATTTTTTTTTTGTAGTGACAAAAAGGCTAATAATATTGCTTCCTATTTTTCTTAAAGAGATTATAAAATAAAATTTAAATATTTTTTAAATACACACAATTATATTATTTATATACATACACATAATATTCCGAAATATATATATATACGTAGGTACCTATATCTTTTCTGTATCTTTTTCTTTTTCATTTTAAATTCTTTTTTAATAGCCCTTGGGCTTTTCATATATGTATCCTTAATACTAAATTTGATAAAAATAAGTTAGGAATAAGGCAAAAATAAAAACAAATTTTAGGAAAATTTTCCTTTAAATTCTCTTCTTTCCGCGCTCTTAATCAAATCAAATGAATTCAACTGTTAAAATGCTGTTTAAAAATCAGCAAGTTAAAGTTATTTGAACTTTTTAAAGAAAACATAAAATATATTCATTTTACATATAAATTTATTTTAAATATAATTTATATTCTATCCATATATGTATATGTGTGTGTTAATATTTATATAATATTTATATTAATTTTAATCAAAGTACAATGCACACTGAGTATTTTGTTTTAATTAAATAAATTGAAAACTGCTCCTTTTTTCCGGTGAGAATTAATGATCCTTATATTCTTATTTTTTCTTTTGTTTTATTATTCTTATTTGTTTTAATACATATATAAAATCTATAAATGAATATTGTATTATATAGATTAAATATAAGTATTATATGCCGGTGTAAAAAAGCACAAAATACTTGTGTATATATTTATATTGTATAGCTTTTTGTATAATGCAATGTATTATATGTAAATCGTTTAACAATATCTTTAAAAGCATTCCTTAACTTAGTATATATGTATGTATAAAGCAGTATAGCGAAATGAAATTGAAAACTTTAGTTCATCCGGGTATTAATGTACATTTAGTATATATATACTTTTATATAGATGTAAGAGTTTATTATATAAAAGGTATATTGGGAAGTCTGTTTAATGATTTTCAATTGGTGTATATTGAAAATATTGAGACAGCATCATTTTAGTGTATTTCTAGAAGATTAACTTATCGTAATGTAGTTTATCATCTTTACATGAATGTTTAAGAGATGGAAGGAAGGAAGGAAGGAAAATTAAGTAACACGAAATTGAGAATAAAGCCAATTGTCAATATATAGTTTTCAATTAATTTTTTATAAAGTATAACAATAAAAGTTTGCAGTTTATAACCGAATTTAAAATTGATTTTAAATTCAATTTCGAATTTTATACTTATTGTTAAATTCATTCATTAGAGCCAATAGGTTGTGTTTTATACTTTATTAGCTACCGTTGTCTGTGAAAATTTCATCAATTTATATAAAAAAATTGAATGGGAATATTAGTGACGGTCATGCAACACCCTGTAAATATGTTTATCATTAAGATAAATAAATCCATATAATTTAGAGCAAAAAAAACTTTTATAAATATAACAAAGATTTCCGGTTTTTTCATTGTATGCATATAGTTTGCGGTGTGAGGTCGATTTTAATATCTTATATACGAAAACTATATACAACACATTTATACAAATACATTTTGTTATGTTAACTAAGCAAAAAATTTATTTAAAAATTTCTTATTTTATTTGAAAGAGATTTAAAGTTGACCTTTGCTAATTAATAGAAAAAATTTTTTATTAAACTATTTTTGAAAGCCAAAAGCAAAAATAATTGACTATAAAAATTATATAATACTCGTTTTACGTACATATATACATACTTGAGCAATTAAATAAATTAAATTAAAATATTTTAAAACTAAAATTCATTCTTTAATCAAAAATATTTTATATACAACGTTCAATCATCAATTAAATTGAATTTTTTGTTGCAAATTTTGCATTTAATTAAAATATTTTCTGTTTCTGTTAAGTATTGAAGAAAATATTTTCTGTATTTTAAAATTTAAATTTTATTATACTTTCATTTTTAAGCAGGAGTTGATAATAAAGTATAGAAACTATTCTTCCTTTATATTAATAATATTAACAGCGAGTGGTCAATAATTGTATTCTATTCAATTCCTATAGCCAATCACAATGTGAATGAAAAATTTTCTTTTCTCATTGCACTTGTACGAGCAATTTATAAAATGAAAAAGTAGATTAAATTTATTTGCAATTTTATGCATCTTATTGATTACATTATTTGATTTAATTAAAATGAAAAAAATTTCACACGTCAATACATAATTTATTAGAATAATTGGGATTAACTATGGGGGATTAATTATAGAAACTATTACAGTATAAGTGAAAACATAAATTGTTTCAAAATTCATTTTATAACAATTTCAATAGCATAATTAAGATTTTGTATCTAATTTTCTGTTTTAGCATTAAGTTATATGATTTTGTTATGAAATTCAGCCAGAATTATTGTTATGACTAAATAGGAATTGGAATGTTATAAAATAAACATGTTTTTTTCTATATTGTTAGATGACATACAAACGATTCATAGAATTGAACCTTGCTCTAAATTTTTTTTTGGTTGAAAATCAAGACATTAATTGTAAGCGGTGAATATTTTTATGTCGAACTCAAATTTCCATATTTATCAAAAATTTTAAAATATTACTAATTACTGTTTTTTAGTTTGGAAGTTTTCCGTTTTTAAACATAATTTTAACTTAATTGAGTTATTATAGATCTGTTTACTTGTGCGTGCATTGGTCGTTTACGCAGCTCTTCTTTTATGCTTCTCCCCATACTCTTTGTTACACAAAAATAAAATTTATTTGATAGAGAACCATAATCCGTATACATCTAAACAGGGAGTATTAATTGTCCTTTAACATATTGAAATTTTCTGTTTCATAAAAAATCAAACACATTATTTGTTAAAAATAAATCAATAAATAATCAAGAAAAATGAAATTTTTTTTCTATTCTAAAAAATGCTACTGTTGATGCTGTAATACGAGTACATCTACTTTTCGGTAGCTGGCAGTAATGGTATTTTTATGCGTATAAAAATTAAATTTTGAACGTTTTTAAAATCTTTATTACGGAAAGAGCATTAGTTCGAAATAATTTTAGTGAGTTGAAAAATTTTTTTTTTAGAATAATTTTAATATTTTTAGAAACACCAGAAGTGGTGTACCACAGTCAACTGGGATCTTGCGTTCTATGTGCAGTTACTTTTTACTTTTGTTACTTAGTACTTTTGTGTTGGTAATGGTCAATAAATAATGAAAATTAGAAATGTTCAAACACTGAAAATTAGGAAGATTTTTGAGCAAAATTTCTTTTAAAGACAAAATGTTTGTTATGTAAAGCATATATTCTTGTTTTAAAAAAAAATATTAAATTTTAATTTCAAATTATTTAAATTTCTTTATTTTTAAAGTTCTTTATAATTATTGTTACTTACATAATTTTGTATTTTGAGCTTTAAAAATTTATCCTTTGGCTAATAGTACAAGTTTGGTACATTTGTTGTTGTTATTGGTATTTAAGAGTTGATCTTGATGTTTTCTATTTTTTTCCTTTATTACTTTTATTATTATTGTTATTATTTTTAATATTTTACTTCTTCTTTAAGCTTTTGTAGTTATGAAATAATTTTTATTTTTTTTCTGTGTATGTTATTATAACTTCTTATTACATTGAAATACGAATACATATAAAAAATAATGAAAAACAATTACATACATACATAGAAATTTTTTTTTAATATTATTTTTTTTTAATATACAAGTAGTACATTAATTTATGTACGACTGAGTAGATGTAACGAGAAAAAGACAATATACGTTAAAAAATTTCCTCTAATAAAATTCTTAAAATAAAAAACAGAAATGAACTTGATGTTGGTTATATTGTATATGTATGTGTGTGTATGGTGACTGCAGTATAATTGAACATTAAAATAACTGAAAATCATAAGAAGCTGCTGTGCCTCTGTATAAAAAGAAAAAAACTGAAATTAAACTTGAAACAATACAAAAGGAAGTTGAAACAACAAAAAAAAATGAATGTGATGAAAAAGTTTTTATTTAAAATAAAAACAAAAATTACTTTTTGACTCTAAACCAAAATTCTTTCACACATACAATAAAATACAGAATAATACACAGGACAATAAAAAAAAAAAGTGAATGAAAACAAAAAGTAAAAGAGAAAAAAAAGAAAAATCTAAAGTGTTTCCTCTTATTTTCCTTTTTGGCTTTAAAAAATTTAATAATTAAATTTTCAACACATTCTTTACTCTTCTATATATACATTTGTGTACATTGTTCGTGCACTTTCCTAACTGTACAAATGTATATAACAGGGGTATACAGATTTCATCTTGACGAGTGTCAAAAATTCAATTTGATGAAAAGAAAATTGAAGAACCTGAATGTTTGCCGCATATTTTTTAAAATCTGATTGACTTGCTAAGACTTTACAAAATAAGTTCCGTTAGGTGTTTATTTATTAGTGAATAATATTGAAAATTAGTTCGCAATTCAATAGATGAGATTGGATGAGAAATTTTTCATATTAGTACCTGCAAAAATCAATATTTTTGAAAATGAAACTTGGCCTAAGTCGTATTCAAAAAATGGAAGAGCCGTTATTTGGCCAGCCCTGATATATAATGAAAAAAGGAATCTAGAAGAACCACTTACAAAAATTTTAAACAAAAAAGAGAAAAATAAATTAAAAATATATAGACAGGCACTCTTTATGCGAGGGCATCTTATTTAGTTCTTAAATATAAAAAGAATTTTTTTTTTATTTTTTTTTTTTTTTTTTTTTGTAATTACTCAGTCAAATTTGTAGAATAAACCGCATGTAGAATAAAAAGTCAATAGGCTTTGATGTCAGCTATGAGTGTGAAATTATTTCAGAGATGAGAGAGAACATTATACTCATAATCAATGAGAGATAGATGAAAAGAGTATACATAAAAGATTATTAGGAGAAACGTGTTTCGAGTACATAAAATATCTAAAATATAGACGATTAAAAGAGGTGGCGCTGAAAGTTTTATTAAGAATTTTTTTGTGTTTAATTTTTTGAATTTAGTTTTAATAAAAAATAAATGTTTAATGTTGAAAATTTTGGTAATTACACAAAAAAAACTTCTCATAAATAATTACAGAAAGAATTTTAAAATGAAAGTTGGATTCAGAACAGATACATGGGTATTATGCTCTCGTCAATACAAAATTTTTGTTCCATGAACCCTAGAGAATCTTTTATCATAACATTGATAATTTAACACAGATCTCAGTTTTTAAAATGTGTCTGAACAAAGTACTAAACGCGTTTCCATATTCGAAATATGAATCCTACAAATTTATCAGAAATCAACTTACTATCTCCCAAACCTGTAATTTATGTTAAACCCTCGTAATGAAATATATTTTTTTTTGTTTCAGTGTTTCTGCATATTAAATAAACGCCCATGTATACATCCGGTTAATTACAATTTTAAAACAACTTATTATAAAAATGTAATTTTAAAATTTTTAAACGGAACAATAATAATAAACTTTTTCCTAGCAAATTATTGAAAATCCAAATGAATTAAACTGAATCATTAAATGTAAATATACATAATTGTGTACATGTGCTCGTTTAAATACATATACATATATAATTGCCTGCCCTCTATATACTATAATAATAATTTTTAAAAAGATTCCAAAAATATTACAAAAAAAAATTTCAAGAATATAGGAGCTGAAATGAATCTATCAAAGAGAAAATTAAAATTTATCAGTACAGAATTATGAGGAACGTGACAGAATTAAATGTCAAGAAAATTATAAAAGAGAGAACAAAAAAAAAAAAAAACAAAAATTCAAATTTAATTTTCTTATTTTCTCTTTTTTTTTTGAGCAAGGATTTTAAAGATCATTTGAAAATACTATAGACATAATTATAGTAAAGAATTTGGAATTAGACCAAAACTTTGTAAAGTAGCACATTTCCAAGAAAATAAGATTTCACATTGTACTCTTAGTTTCTATAATATATCAAAAGCATTGCATACTTTTAGGGTAAACTAAAAAAAATTAGTTCTAAAAAAACTGAACCGACACAATTAATGAGATCATATCAAACATTTAATTGTATTTTGTGAGTCCTTAACTTTTTTGATTTCGTAGAAATTTGATTAAATATAGAGACCAAAAAAAAAAAAATTAATAGCCGAAAATAAAAATTTTGTTAATTTTCAGATTAATAATTCCAAAAATTTCCAAATCCTGTAGTTTACCATTTTAGAGAAAAATTATGTTAAAAATATAAAAATGAAAAAACCGTTTCGAGATAGTGGAAAGTTTCAGCAAGCTTTTCATCATTGTCTATGCCGTTTTACAATGGTTATCTATGCCGTTTTGCAATAGAAGAGAAGTGAAAATTGAAGAAGCGTTTGCGCAATTAAGAATGCATTGTTGAAATATGACCTTTTTAGAATGTTGGGCCGTAACATTTAAATGAATATAATGCGTATAGATTCCACTGTAATGTCCATATATTCCACTGTAAGACCCATTTGAATTTAAAATTTTAGACTCCCGGGCTATAAACTAATAAAATGTTCCTTTTTTCAATATTGTTAGAAATGTGCTATAATAAAAATAAAGAAATTTCAAAATTCATATTCAATGTTTGCATGGTATTTTTGTTTTTCTTTTCTCTCCTTCTCTCTTTTTTTAATTCAATGGTTTGATCCTTAAGAGTAATCATTATTATTTATATATTCATTTTATTTGGGTTTTTTGAAGAAGAGGAACGGATATACAGAGCGTATATTATTTAAAAAAAGAAAAAAAGGATTTCAATTTAAAAAATATTGAATAATCTAATATTAAAAGGAATTAGAGAAAACTATAATATACATTTGAGCAAGAAAAGGATGTCGTTTTTATATTTTGTTCTATTTATTCTTCTTTTCCTTCCTTTGCCATAATATTCTTGGTTGTCAACAACATGTTAAGAAATTTTTTTTTTTTTTTGTAGAAAAGCAAAAGAAAATCTATTTTGTATAAAGATTTATAGAAAAATTATAGTAGTATACAAGATGAATAAAAATGTTCTTTTCTACAAAAAGGTTTTACAAAATAAAAATATGAAAAAGGACAAAAATATTTGAACCTTGATGCATATATATAGCTATATACATATACAAATTTCTAGTATATTAAAATATTGCAAGTGAATAATAATTAAGTTCTTATTATACAAGGTATACACTTCATATTATATCTTTATATAACTTAATTCTCTAAAGGATCAGTGAGTTTTTCTTTGGTATCAAGGATGCGTATGATGAAGAGATCTTGTAAGAAAATATTATAAAAATAATTCTAAAAAATACGCTTATAATTAAATTGTAATTTTGTTTTAATGGGACGTACTTTAAAATTAAAATTAAATATAAAGACGCACTGAAAGTACCTTGTGGTACTTTTGGATTACTTAAAAATAAAAAGACAGTGTTATGTTACAATAATATAAATAAAAATACATTAAAAATTTTTAAGATTTTTTCATATAGCGTTTTTAAATTAAGAACATTTTTTATTTTAGGTACATTTAATAATATGAGAGTTGTTGTTCGATGTTGATCAACCTTGATGAAAAGGAATTGCTAACTTTGAAGTGGAATAGAGTGAAAAGAAAGAGAATGAAATAGGAGGTATGAATGAAATAAGAAGCCAAAAAAACAAAGATATTTGAAAGAGAGTTAGAGCAATCATAATAAATGTAGATGTATGGAGCGATTAATGGAAGTCACTGATGCCAAGTTGAGAATATAGCCTTCCATAAACATTTTGCGAATGTCAGATAGAAAAAGAAGTTCACAGAAATCGGACTCGGAAGATGATTTTCTCGGAAAGAAGGACAGACGACTTAGGTTGGTCTATTTACCCAGACAATTTAGAGTTTACAGTGATTACACACCATTATAAGGTTCGCGATTTCAGCTCAATCTATTTATAAAGGATTTTAGTCAATAATGTGCAAAAAACACAATTATCCGTTTCTCCTTAATCCTTAAATTTAAAAAGAAAATGTAATCCTTTTGAAAAAATTTCAATATTATATGATTAATAATTTGAACAAAAATCAAATTTATCGATAAAAGTCAATTTAACAATTTAAATTGAGCCAACAGTTTCGTCTTAATAATTTTTTTTTAATTTTGTTTTTCATATTAAATACATAATCATATAAGAGTTAAAGGGATAAATAGAAAAAATTTTCTTTAAAGAAACAAGAAATATTTTATCTTCATATGTTACCAAAATGGCAAAAAATAAACAAATTTTCATTCTATTTGCACACTTTCAAAAAATATGTTATTTTTTACAATTTCAACGTACTTTTACAAATGCAAATGCAAAAATACTCGAGCACACCTTAAGTAAAACAACAATTACACTATTTATAAATACATAGTGTACTTCTACCCTGCATAATTTTTATTTTAAAAACATTGCATTCATTTCAATATAAAAATTTTACAAATTTCAAAATAAAAGTTCATGTTTTATATAATTTTATATGGATTGAACCTTTTCTTTTGCATCATTTATCGATAAAGGGGATTGTAGGACCCTTAACATCTGTGACAAAAAAATTTTTGTTAAAAAAA